CTTGTTCTCGAGCCCATTTGTAGATCTTTTCTAATCGGCTACCTAGTTTTATAACACTAAAGTCAAACTAAAACTTTTATGTTCGTGGCACGCTTTGGGTCTAATTAGACATCATTGACATTTGGGCCTAATTTTTTTTTGTTTAGTCTTCACCCAAATAGGATATAATTCATTTTGACCAAACTAGATTTAATTATTTAATTGATTTGTCAGCTTTTGTCATCAAATTAAATCGTATCAACTCTTAATTAATCATAAATTCAATTTTATCGGTTAATTTATGTATACTGAGGTAACATTTGTAATTAACCAAAAATTTTAAGGACACAACCGTAAGTTTTGAAATTACAGGGATTAAAATGAAAATTATTAAGTTAAGAGGACCAAAACGAAAATTTAAACTCGTTTTTGTGTCCGTGTTTGGCATGTTAGCAAAGCAGCCCAAAGCCAGCAGGACAGTTATTATAGAAAGGTCGTAAAAGGAAAGCTCCCAAGGCCAGCTCTGTCATGTCCATACCCAATTGTTCACCATGCACCTCTTCCTTAAATAAACCCTAATTTTATTTTACATTTCTTATTTATTTATTTATTTTGAATTTATATCGAAAAAATTATAATTTAGCGTCTATGATTTTAGTCTGATAAAACGGTATAAATAGACTAACCGATTCAATATGTTAATGGTAGAAGCCATTAATAAATTGACTACGTAGTCGGTTCATTATTTTAATTATAAGAACTTAAGGAAAAAAATCTCGCGTATAAAAGTTATAAAAATTAAATTCTATTTTTTTCGATCATATAAATCAATTTTTTTTTAATATTTTATTATATAATGCCATCAAAAACTTATATATATATATATATTTATTTATTTATTGTGAGATTATGGTCGGAGGAAAAAAAATATTTTTTATAAAAAATGTGAAAAGCTTTATGGTAGACCTATTTTAAAATCGTGATATTGAACGAAAAAATATATATATTTATATATATAATTTTAGGTCGGGGGAAACTGACAGTTTGGTATATTTTGTGTATTGGGAAAGAGGAGAATTATGGGTGGGCGCTCAAAAAGTTTTGTTCTGTACTCCTCAAAACGGCTTACCAAGTGATCAGAAACCTCTCATCTTCCCTTTCCATTTCTTCTCCCCGCGTTTTCCTTGCTTTTTTCTCTCTGTCATTCTCAGCGTTGAAGAAAGCTTAAAACCCACGAATCCCCAGAACCAGATTTTCTTAGGAAATCCATGATCATGCCTGCTCCCATTCTCAGATTACCCTTTTTCCTTCCCATTCTCGCCATTTTGCTACTCTTTTCCACCTTTCTTACCCCAACAGGTTCGATTCTTCTTCTTTTTCTTCCTTGTGGCTTTGTTTTCTGTCTCTTTTTGTTGTTTGTTTCAATGGGTGTTGGCCTGTTGGTTTGTTTGTTTCCATAATCGTCTCTGTTTTGAAAACTCGGCCTCTCTTTCTGCTTGTTTTTGTGACTGATCGATTCTGGAATCTGCTCTTCCTTCGTTTGATTTGAAGAATGATGAAATGGTAGCTTTCATCTTTGATTACTCTGAGTTTCAGGGGTTTGTTTCTCTCGTTTTCTTTGATTTTTTTAAATCCTGTTTTTGGGTCTTGTTCACAGGGGGACTTTAGTTTCTGGGTTTTCTTTGATGAACTTTCAAATGGGTGTTTGAGGATTTTTGGGTTTAATGCATTATGTCCTCTGCATGCATAAGGTTTTGGATTTTGAGACTTTGAGGAAAATCCCCTGTTTCTTCCTAACTCTGAAATGCTCTGTTCATTTAATTTCTGAGATGAAATTGAGAGCAATTTTTAAAAGGAGTGTGTAAATAATGGATAAGAAATGATGTTTATACCTAACGCTGTTAAAGGTTATGTTCTTGAGGCTACTAATTCTGTTCATGGACCATATTGCTTTTTTCTTTTTTTAATCATTATGATTTGACTAATAGCTTCTACGTACTGTTTGAACTTCAGAGGGTGATGCTGATTTATCCTTTTTTTTATGTTTTATCTTATTTGGTTTTCAGAAGCGTATGATCCGCTTGATCCAAATGGAAACATTACTATCAAGTGGGATGTTATAAGCTGGACCGCTGATGGCTATGTTGTAAGTGTTTATGAATCATTGTGTTCATTTCATAAGAATCAATATGTGTGATAGCCCTTTGAGATGGAGAGGTTGTGTAGAGAAATGAGGGGTTTTGGAGGTGATTTCTTAATTTCTGTATAAAATGATGAGCACTTGTGTTATGGTGATGATTATAATGGGAAATTTAGTTGTCTTTTCCCTTTTTGTGCTTGTTTTTAGCTATTAAACTTGTGTTTTGTGAATGAATAGGCTGTCGTTACTATGTATAATTTCCAACAATATCGTCATATTCAAGCACCGGGATGGTCTCTGCAATGGGGATGGGTTAAGAAAGAGGTCATATGGAGCATGTTGGGAGGCCAAGCAACCGAACAAGGTGATTGTTCGAGATATAAGGGGAACATCCCTCATAGCTGCAAGAGGGATCCAACCATTGTTGATCTATTGCCCGGGACTCCGTATAACCAGCAGATTGCAAATTGCTGCAAAGGCGGAGTTCTCAACTCCTGGGTGCAAGATCCAACTACTGCAGTGAGTTCATTTCAACTCAGTGTTGGTGCTGCGGGAACCTCGAATAAAACTGTCAGATTACCAAAGAACTTCACCTTAAAAGCACCTGGGCCTGGTTATACTTGTGGACCTGCAAAGATCGTTAGACCGACCAAATTCATTTCGTCTGACAAACGGAGAGTTACACAGGCCTTGAGTAAGTAAAGATTAGAGAGTTATTTACTTATACTATCTTCCTGTTAAGTTGCTTTCAAATTCAATACCTTTCCTTTCAAGAAATCCTTGTACTATTCCACTGATATTTTGCTTCAAATCCTTCATGTTTGCAGTGACATGGAATATTACATGCACATATTCACAATTTCTGGCTCAAAAAACTCCGACTTGCTGTGTTTCGCTGTCATCATTTTACAACGACACGATTGTTTCTTGCCCTAAATGCTCGTGTGGTTGTCCAAACAACTTGAAGGGAGCCCAAAATTGTGTGGAGTAAGCTATCTGCCTCATATAAAACTATAAACTATTATGACTTGGACTAATTGTGAACATGTGTATTTGCAGGCCAAATTCTCCGCACTTAGCCTCTGTTGTTACCAATGCTAGTTCTAGCAATAACAATGTGGTACCTTCAGTTCAGTGTACAGGCCATATGTGCCCGATCCGAGTTCACTGGCATGTGAAGATTAACTATAAGGAGTATTGGCGTGCCAAGATCACAATTACAAACTTCAATTACGCGATGAACTATACAAATTGGAACTTAGTTGCCCAACATCCCAACTTCGACAATTTAACAACGATTTTCAGCTTCAACTACATGTCGATCAATCCATATGGAACTATAAGTAGGATACGTTTTCTTCTCGGAAACATCTTTTTGTTGGTTCCTCTTCTTTTAAATTTAAATAATTGTATGTGTACTTCTAACAGATGATACTGCAGTCCTGTGGGGAGTCAAGTTCTACAATGATTTGCTCATGCAAGCAGGCCCTTCTGGGAATGTGCAGACAGAGCTACTTTTCCGAAAGAATCCATCGGTTTTCACATTTGATAAAGGCTGGGCTTTCCCTCGGAGGATTTATTTCAATGGCGACAACTGCGTCATGCCGCCTCCAGATGCCTATCCCCACTCACCAAACACGGGTTTGAAGCAAGGTGTCTCGTTGTTTACTACGCTATTGTCGATTTCCTTGACTCTCCTTTCCCTTCGCCATTTATTTGCATAACGTTTTCCCTGGTATACTCGAGTCATTCTGAAGTTTTGAAGTGGATCGATCAGTCTGGCACACACAATTATTTAAAGAATTGATGAATCTCAGATATGGATGATGACTTTTAACTACACAATTGTTTTTCTTCGGTGAACTTTTTCGTGATCGAGTTCACTTTGTAAATGTTGTACGATAGTACAGAAACTCTCTAAGATTTCCATGTCTGCATTGTGAGATAATGCTCAACCATGGAAACTTGGAACATGTTTACATATCAATTGTTGTCAGTAAATGTTTCTCTGCTACTTTGATTCATTCCATATCTTTATCTTCTTTCATGGAACAGTGGAATTTTTGTGAATGGAAAAGTAGATTACAGGAAAGGAATGGATTCTGAATTTCAGAATATGACATTCTTCATTTTGAACTTTCTAAAAGATTGTAAGTTCTTGTATGCAGGTGATTTTGTTCCTATATGTCAAAAATATGGATTTGATCTGAAAAATTACATTACATTCTTTCTTCATGTGTAATTTTGAATTCTAGAAAAGGACTCAGCAAATAGCTAGCAGCAGGAAGAGCAGCAGCAAAGCAAATGATGTTGAGAGGGCAATGGGCCTTTGGCGGGCAGTGTTCGGCAGGAACGGGTATGTGTCCGGTGGTGGAAGCATGCACTCGTCGCCATTGAAGTAAACTTTCCGAGGGAATGCCCATCCCTGCTTAAAGGTGAAGGTGTTCTGATCCTTTTGCAGCAACACCTCTGATTGTACATTCCCAAATGGCCCTGCTTCCATCAGAAGGTCGTTGTAAAACTTCGTCCCGTAGAACATTCCCGTGTCATCTGTGTATATCAGGAGCATAAACCGTGTCTTAGCTCTTCTCTTTCGGTGAATATGTCAAGAAAAGAGCAATGAGTAGAAAACAGTTTCAGAGTTTGATGCTTTTACTTACTGATTGATTCATAGGGAACAAGGGGTTTGTAGTTGAAGCTGAAAACTTGGGTTACATTGTTCAGATTTGGATGCTGGACGACGAGAGACCAAAGCGAATAGTTCATTCGGTAGTTGAAGTTTGTGATGGCGATCTTCACCCGCCAGTATTCCTTATAATTTTGTTTCACGTGCCAGTGAACTCGAACCGGGCACATATGATGCGTGCACTGTAGCAACGGGGTGTTGTCTTTCTTTGGTGTATTGATTCCAACCAGCTTAAGAATCTTAGAATCACTCCTGCAGTCATTGCAAAGCATAACACAGTTCAGGTCTGATCTGTACTAATGGCAATACTTAATAAGAATTGAGATGGAAATGGCTAGCCTTACTTGATGCAGCTGTTCTTGTTTTGGCAACCACAGGTGCAAGACGGACAAGACGTGATCGTATCGTTGTAGAACGATGAGAACGAAACACAACAATTAGGATTTTTTCTGGCCAAAAACTGAGAGTAAGTGCAGGTCACATTCCAAGTCACTGCACACAAAAAGGAGAAAGATGACCAAATTACAGCTTATACTTGTCGATAAAATGCAGATGGAGGACTGTAATGAACGTGTTCTTACTCAGAGCTTGAGTTTTGCGACGGCGGTCGGGTGTGAGGAAGGTGGTGGAAGGCACGACCTTGGCGGGGCCACAAGTGTACCCGGGGCCGGGACCAAGCAGAGTGAAGTTCTTGGGGAGTTTGACAGTCTTATTTGAAGTACCTGCTTGGCCAACACTGATCTGAAAGGCTGAAACAGCAGCTTGAGGGTCTTGTCCCCAAGCAGCCACAACCCCACCTTTGCAGCAGTTTGTAAACTGCTGATTGTAAGGAACTCCTGGCATCAAATCCACAACAGTGGGGGTTTTCTTACAACAGTGAGGAATGTTTCCTTTGAACTTGGAGCAATCACCTTGCTCGGTCGTTTGCGACCCGACCATCGACCATATCACTTCCTTTTTTGCCCACGTCCATCCCATCGTCCACCCGGGACTCATTATATGCCGGTACATTTGGAAGTTGTTCAATGTCACAACCGCCTATAAAATCATCAACTTCATAGGACTAGATTCAAAAACTCATATCAGAATAGAAGTTCTTACCACATAGCCATCAGGCGTCCAAGACATGACGTCCCATTTGACCGTAATGTTCCCATTCGGATCCAACGGATCGTATGCAGCTGCAACCAAAAAACACAAATAGATTGATCTCCATAACACGAACGAGAAGTTCAAAATGACAGGTAACTCGGCAAAAACAAGCCTCACCTCCAAGAGAAAATATGACAAAAAGGAAAACAGCCGAAACAATCAAGCTCATTGTCGGTCAAGTCGAGCAAACGAGTTCTACAAGGAAGATGAACAATAAACGACACACCAAAAGGGTGTCGTTGAAAGCTTTATATAAGATTATGGTTTGTTCTTTATGTTCTTTGTTCTGTTCAGTTCCCATAACGTGAAGCAAGGGCTAGGTGGGAAAAACATGGCGGGACATATGAAGATTGAGAAGTTAACATCCCAACGGTACAAGGGTTGAAGATGAAGCTGATGTGTAATGGCTTAGGCGTGGAAGTTACTCAAATGACCTTGTAGCTTTTGCTGTGATATCAGGTATAAAGAAATTGCACCTACCCTGCTTAATACCCTTTTGGGAATTACTCAAAATTTTATGATACTCATTCAAAGATCATAAGATAATAGTAAATACTCATAGAATTTGTGTTCCTTACTATTATCATGTGTATGTTTTGAAGTACTTAGGTTAATTGTGTGCTCATTTGAGGCCTTGTGGCTGTCATGGGGGCCTAAGACCTAACATGGAAGGCAAGGCAAGGCAAGGCAGGGCAAGTTTCTTGAATGTTCTAACCAATTTGGATGAGTTTGAAGGAAGCAAACAGGTTGGGAAAAAGGTATAAAGAGAGAGAGAGAGAGAGATGGAGAAGCCTTTGAATGTGATGAAAGCCCAAAAAGACAACAGATCTACCAAACTACTGTTGTATTTGGCAGACTTCTCATAAATTGCTTCAATACTAATACTTCTCTCCTTCCCATCCCTCTCATTTGCCAAAGGCTTTTAGTGAGGATTCTCGATCTTTTGAGTTGTTTTTGAGATTGTAGACGATCGTGCTTCTCGGTAGACCAACACGTGTCATTTTTACATATTGTTGTCTTTACCAACATTGTAACAGCCCAAGCCCACCGCTAGCCGATATTGACGTGTTTGGACTTTTCCCTTCAAGGTTTTTAAAACGCGTCTGTTAGGGAGAGATTTTCACATCCTTATGAAAAATGCTTTGTTCTCCTCCATAAGCGGTGTAAGATCTCACAATCCACCCCTTTGGGACCCCTAATCCACCCTCCTTCGGGGCCCAGCGTCCTTGATGACACATTACCTCGTGTCCACCCTACTTAGCCTCCTCGCTGGCACATCACCTAGTGTATGACACTGATATCACTTGTAATGGCCTAAGCCCACTGCGAGCAGGTATTGTTCAAGGCTTTTCTTTTAAGCTTCCCCTCAAAGTTTTTAAAACATGTCTCCTAAGAAGAGGTTTTCACACCCTTACAAAGAATGATTCGTTCTCCTCTCAACCAATGTGGGATCTCACAACCATGTTTCTTAAGAAAGCTTCTTCGGAGATCACCCGACTCCTTTAGATGAAATAGTACTTCTTGTATATGTCTAGTCCGCCAACTTGTTCAATTTCGAGTATCACGTCCCCACCAACTTTTTCGTAGTTGACTTGAACCACACTATTGTACGAGAGCAGTATCGACCAACAACATCAAGGCCACCTAATGACCTTTCTATTCGACGACTTTAGCTACTTATAAGATTGAAGATTATATCTACAAACCAACTCGATATGATGCTGATTTGCAATATATATAATATTTTTTTAATTTTCAAAAGGCTACAAGTAATCTTGTACAAGTAATCTATTATAGCTTTATTTTAGTCAACGCAATGGAATGTGGATGCACGTGCGAGTTTCTGTTTCCGCACGTATCTCACTCTACCTAATTTATAAATTTCTTCTATAACTGATTAAATTAATAAATGCTTCACAAAGTAACATCCTTTTTCAACCTTTCTTTTATTTTTACAAGCAACATCTTAATTATCAATTAATTTATTTTTAATCAATTAAATATTTGAGATATATTCCAAAATATCATCAAAATATTCATAATATTTTCCTAATCAATTAAATAATTCTAATATTTCACATTTATTTTATTAAAGAAACAAACAATCAAAATAATTCCAAAATCCAACCTAAAATCTTAGAATTAGAAAGTAATTTATGAAATTTTATTATTTAAATTAAATGACATGAAATTAGTTATTGATGGTTTGTAAAAATAAAAATAAAAATCTATCCGCGGAATTCGCCGAGTTTGACCACAGAACAATTCCCCGTTACCTTTGAAATTCAGAAACCTCGCTCTCTGCTTTAATGGCGACTTTAAGCCACTCGCTTCTGCCTAACTCCACGGCCTCTCGCAATCTCCCAGTTATAATTCCACTCCCAATGCCCAATTCCCTCACATCGCCATCTCCCCATTTCTAGATTCCGGCTTCTCTACCTCTCTTTTCCTCTCCCATGGCGTCCTCATTGCTCAAAGATGAGCTCGACATTGTCATCCCCACCATTAGAAACCTCGACTTCCTCGAGATGTGGAGGCCCTTCTTTCAGCCTTACCATTTGATCATCGTCCAAGATGGCGACCCTTCCAAGACCATCAAGGTTCCTGAGGGATTCGATTATGAGCTCTATAATCGCAATGACATTAATCGGATTCTCGGCCCTAGAGCCAACTGCATTTCCTTTAAGGACTCTGCTTGTCGATGCTTTGGGTATATGGTTTCCAAAAAGAAGTATATCTTCACCATTGATGATGATTGCTTTGTGAGTTCTTTCGCTTTTTCCACTTTTCCGATTGGGCTTTTGGCTTTATGATTTTGGTGTTTTCTTTTTCCTCTGTTATTGCATGCGTGATTCCTTGATGGGTTTGATTGGTCTCCCTTTTTTCTTGGTTCTTTTTTGCATGCCCGCCATCTGTTTGTGAAAAGTCCGATTACAAGAATGCTTGCATTTTTCGTTGTTGAAAGCTGGGTCTAGTTTTAAATCTGCTTTCTGATTTTTCTTTGCATCCTCTTGCACTCTGATGATCTGTATTCCTCTTGATTCAGTTTACCTCTGCAGTTTCTGTTTGATTCTATATGTAGTTTTGTGCTCATTCATAATAATAGTGTAAGAAACTTTTGATCATTTAAAAAATTTGATGCTTAGGTTGCCAGTGATCCGTCTGGGAAACAAATCAATGCACTTGCACAGCACATCAAGAACCTCCTCTGCCCCTCTACCCCCTTTTTCTTCAACACCCTTTACGATCCTTATCGAGATGGTGCTGACTTTGTGCGTGGATATCCCTTCAGTCTGCGTGAGGGTGTCCCAACCGCTGTTTCTCATGGCCTCTGGCTTAATATCCCAGATTATGATGCACCAACTCAGCTTGTTAAGCCTCTGGAAAGGAACACAAGGTAAGCACTAATCTCTAAAGGCTGCTCTACTTGGATGGAAATCATAAGGTCTAGTCAAATTTGTTGTCTAACGATCTTCATTGTTTGTAAAAGGTTTGTGGATGCTGTCCTGACAATCCCAAAAGGCACTTTGTTTCCCATGTGTGGTATGAATTTGGCATTCGACCGAGACCTCATCGGCCCTGCAATGTACTTTGGACTCATGGGCGACGGGCAGCCAATCGGTCGATACGACGATATGTGGGCTGGCTGGTGCATCAAGGTGTGTATGAAAACAGTTCTAAATGATAGATAGATCATATTCATGTAGATGTAGTTTTAATCTGAATTCATTTTCAATCCGCACATCTTGGAAAGCATTCTGTTAGAACAATTACAATGCTGCTGAATTATAGATTGATTAGATTGCACATGGCATTCTGCTATGAGAACTGTGATGCATCTGAACGATAAATTGACCGAACGATTAATCGACCGAATGCATACGTGTAGGTTATATGTGATCATCTGGGGTTGGGAGTGAAGACAGGGCTGCCTTACATCTACCATAGCAAGGCAAGCAACCCATTTGTGAACCTGAGGAAGGAGTACAAGGGCATTTTCTGGCAGGAAGACATCATCCCATTCTTCCAACAAGTTATTCTTCCAAAAGATTGCACCACTGTCCAAAAGTGCTACATTGAGCTGGCCAAACAAGTCAAGGACAAGCTCAGCAAAGTTGATCCTTACTTCGACAAGCTGGCCGATGCCATGGTGACTTGGATTGAAGCTTGGGATGATCTCAACCCAACTGGAGCTTCAGCTAAGTTGCCCAATGGAAAAGCGTAATCATTTAGTCAAATCGCCATCTTCGTGCAACTATAGATGTTGTTTGAGTCTTAATAACTTGTGATTTTTCGGATTTTGAATGTACTTTTTGTTCTTCAATCTACTGTTCTATATAAGCTGTAGAAACAATAAGATATGGTGATTCAGGTTCTAGTTTGTACCTCAGTTGATACCCAGAAATATTTAGTAATATTTGTTTCACATTGTTCCCAAGTTATTTTCTTGTACACCCATATGATATGTTGTTGATTTGTGTTGTTTGTGAACTTTTAATATCTTTTATCTAAGATTGTATATCGAATATATGAGCATTATGATGCCTTCTCCTCTGTGCTCTTCACTTTCATGAAGGTTTTGAAGAATGTGGCAAAGTTGAGAAAGTTGAAATTCCACAAATGCAGCAGATATGATGATGATGAAGATTTCAGCTTCAAACAGATTTGAAAACTTTTTCCCTATAAGGGTGTCTGAGAAAAAGAGCTTTCCCCTTTGGTAGAGATAGCAGAAAAGAGAGAAGCCAAGCCAAAGAGTTTTAGTAGTATGCTTCTTCCAATTCAGAATACTTTGCAAAAGTTGGCATGAATAAGAATATGAACATGATATAAGGTACAAAACATTATCTCCCATTTACTTTTTTTCAATCGAATCTTTCGTACAACGAATATTAGAGATTTGACGACTCTTTATATTAACCATTCAACCATGCTCTGATCCAATGAAACATTCCTTATAAGGGTGTAGTGTGTGGAAATCTCTCCTTAACATATGCATTTTAAAGCCGTGAGGTTGACAGCGATATGTAACGGGCCAACGGCCAGTCACTGAGTGGTGCCAGCAAGAACGCTAACCCCCAAGGAAGGTAAATTGTGAGATCTCACGTTGGCTGAAGAAGGAAACAAGTATTCATTATAAGGGTGTAGGGTGTCCCAGCGAGCCAAACACTGGGTTGAGTGCCAGCGAGCACACTAGTATTCATTATAAGGGTGTAGGGTGTCCCGGCGAGCCAAACACTGGGTCGAGTGCCAGCGAGCACACTGAACCTCAGCTCAAAGGAGGGTGGATTGTGAGATCTCACATTGGTTGGTTGAAGAGAGAATACGTAACGAGCCAAAACAGACAATATCTAATAGCGGTGGTGGACTTGAGCTGTTACATGAATTATTGAAGATATATTATGGGTGTAATATTGGGTAAATTAGCATCTCTAATTATGGGATCCAAGTCAGGATGCCATTTTAATAGAGAGGTTAGTGGGATGATTAATTTCCTAAGATGGAGAAGATGAAAAAAAGTGAGGATAATTAAGACCAAACAAAATGGTAAAAAATAAAGAAAATTTTCCCTTTATAATTCAATTAGTGACGTTGAAGAAAGGAATATTTGCAACAAATTTGATATTTTTAGTTCATCAATGCCCAATATTTCCACCATTGATACCCTATTTCTTGTTCACGATAGCGTTGTGGTTGAATTGAAAAAAGGTTAGTCCAATCAGAGACGAAGAGTCCACTAATCACGTAATTCGAGGACTTAGATCTGAAAACAAGAGAGTGAATTGACCTGAAGTTGAATTTGGTTAAATAGATGAATTCGAGACGTTTGTACCAGCCCAAATTCAGCTGAGGTTTTTAAAACGCGTCTATTAGAGAAAGGTTTCCACACCCTTGTAAATAATGTTTCGTTCTCCACTCCAACCAATTTAAGATTAAATTTCGTCATTCATGTAACTATCGTTCTTTTCTGAAATTAAGAAACGAGGCACAGAGAAAGATAAAATACACCTAGCACCTACGGTAAAGCTTGGAGATGTAAAGCAAGCATGTTTAGTCACAAATCCTTTAAATTGCATGATCTAAAGGGTCAAAATGTGTGAAAATTCTTTCTATTAGAGGTATGGTTTCAAAATGTGTTCATTTAAGTTGTCGTGGATTAAAAAAGAAAGGTCTTCCACATATCGTTCTCTTATCTAATCTCACGCTCGGGACCACTCGAACGAGTGAATGAGATGCAATGAGAAGAATCGAGCACCTTATAGTGATCTAGCGTGTTTGTCACCAATAGACTAACAATATGACAGAGTGGTTTTCATATTGGGACTTCCTTTAAATTGTGATACTCATCCACACGTTGATATGCAATTTGATTCTTACTCAGACACAACTTCACACTATTTATTAACTTAAGCATTAGAGTTTGTGTGACATCTAAGTAAATGAGGGGTACATAAATTAATCGAGATCACATTTGAACGAGAGTGACCAGAGATTAAGATGATTAAAAAAGATTTAGAATAATTGATAATATCGATAACTCAATTATACAAATTCAATGGCTAAGCACGTTTTGATTGGAATAATTATATATTGGGTGACCTCACGAGAATTTGTCTACAATAAATTTTATTTTAAAAAAATTAGCGGTAAGCGAAATTTAAAAAACCAAAATAAATTCTTAAAAATGATTTGTTTTATTTTTTAAAACAAAACTTAGGGAAAAAGAAAACAATAACTATCATAAATAAAAATAATATTTATAAATTTAATTTGTTGAAAATCAAGATTTTTATCTGAACATTTTATCTTTTATTTATTATTATTATTATTATAAATTGAATATTTCGATTTGACTTTTAGACAATCCAATGTAAGCACGCTGTACTGTTGACCCTGCTCTGAAACGACATGCATAGTTAATGAAGGGCAAATCCGTAAATAACTCTCACACCCCAACAAAAAAGAATTAAAATTAAAATTAAAATCTGATTTTAAACGAAAATTATAATATTTTAACTAATTTAATCATGTGTTTTAAAAATTAAAAAGGACGCATCTTTCTCATCCACCAAAACCTGGCACTTTCCGTGCAACTGCCCTCTTGTCTTGCCACGTGGCACGTCAAATCGGCTAACCGTACAGTTCAACAAGTTGTCCGCTATTATACTCCACAGTCTCTGGCGGAGGAGTCGACAACCCCCGGAGCAAAGTCTGTGTGAATGACAGACTAATAGTAGAGCGACACGTAGTGAGCAGAAAGTGCTTTTCGTGCTCAGCTGCGTAACTGTAAATGGGCTGTGACCATTGGGAAGTGCTTTTTCTTTGTCTTGAACAGAGAACACATGGAGTTGCCGTGTCCACACGTGGCAAACAGTCCCCTGGCGCAGGCCGTTTCTTCTCTGGTTACTTCGCTGTAGCCATCGCCGCCGTACGGCGGCGGTAACTTCCGAGGTTCGTTGGAAATGTACAGTGAACAATCCCATGCAAAAGAAAATTATGAAATAATTGAATTAATTAAATAATTAAGACATTTCCAATTTTTATTTTGCAATTTTTGACAAATCATGATGTCAAATCATTCTCTTAGATGATGTGTTGATATCAAAAGAAGTGTTTTTTAGTTATTTTGTCCCCCAAATTATTTTCCTGTCTATTCATTCCCTTACAATATTAATAATTTTATGCTACAAATTTTTATTTAATTATGTTATTTACTTATAAAATTTACCAATCTATTTTTAAATAATATTCATGTTAGCCTTAAGACATAATTTTTTTATATAACTTCAAATTCTAACATCATAATCATAGGTCAAGAATCTTCTACCTACAATTTCCTTTTTTTTTTTTTTTTTTTAAATTTTATATATATATATAGACACCCTTTTACCTGTTTTAGGATATGGTTGTATCAATCTATTATTTAGTTTTGTTTCTTATTGACCAAACTAACCCTATCCCACCAACCATTTTGTTCCTCGAGTATTGGTTATTTTGGTCAAAACCTAGGTTAGTATCTTTTTTTCACAAACCAAATATGTAATTTTTAGTACCAAAACAAAAATGACAAATCTCAAACTAGCTGTACAAAAAGTAAATTCTTTTTATTCTTAATTATATTTTATCGTCCCATCCTGTATATAAGTTGGTATGATTCTCTTTTACTCAGTAAACGATGTATTATCCACTGTTTGATAAATTATCGCAATCAACAGCGTTAGAATTGAGTGTTAGAATATTAACCTAATCAAAACTAACGAAAAAACCTAAATTTATAATTTAAACCAAAAAGAAAAAAAAAACATTTGCGCTAAATGTTTGTTTTAACAACTTTTCCTTATTTCATTGATTATTATATTAATAAATTATCACATGAAAATTGTACTGATCCAATAAGAAAATGACACGTGGAGATTCATTTTTAAGGTTTGGTGACGATGTTCTGATCGACCTGTGACCGGCTTTAAGCTGATGATACAGAATCTGAGAACCAAATGGTACCACACCAGGCGCGTGTCGAATCAAAAAGCTCCACGTGGGTATGAAGATAAAAATATCACGACATCGTTGAAAACACCACAAACGTGTAACACACGCTTCCAAAACGCGCGTGGGAAAACAAGGATAAAAGAAAAAAACAGGGTGTTTTATAAGAAACTAGTAGGAAGAAGAAGAAGAAGAGGAGGAGGAGCTCTAAGGCTGTCTTGAAATTGTTTTTGTGGGTGTGAAGATCAGAAGAAATCTGTAGCTCTGAAACCCTAAGAACAAGAACAAAAAAAGAGAGACTAGGGTTTAATTCTTTTTTGTTTGGGAAAAACAAAAAAACAACAACAAAAATCACTGTTTTCTGCCTCTACCTCACTAGGGTTTAATTCTTTTTTGTTCTTGTTGGATCCCAAGAACAGAGCCAGAGGCTTTGTTTTCAGGGGTAAGGAAATGGGAAGAGGAAGAGTGGAGCTGAAGAGAATAGAGAACAAGATAAACAGGCAGGTAACATTTGCCAAGAGAAGGAGTGGGCTGTTGAAGAAAGCTTATGAGCTCTCTGTTCTTTGTGATGCTGAAGTTGCTCTTATCATCTTCTCTAATCGTGGCAAGCTCTATGAGTTCTGTAGCACTTCCAAGTACTCTTCTCATCCTCATCTTTCTAGGGTTTCCTTTTCATTTTGTTTTTGTTTATACCCATTTAGATCCATAATTGCTTCTTCATCATCTCTCATTTCATGTTGTTTCTTGCCTCAGTATGCTCAAGACACTGGAAAGGTACCAGAAATGCAGTTATGGAGCTGTCGAGGTCGCCAAACCCGCCAAAGAGCTCGAGGTGAATCGTCTATGCAGACACCCATGTCGTTAATGATTAAATTTATCGTAATCTATCAACTACCTATGAATTCTCGATCGTAAAAATTGGATTTTTATTTTTTATTTTTACAGAGTAGCTATAGAG